CAGCTCAACAGTAACTCTTAGGAAAGACTACCAGCTTACTCAATTCTAATAAAGCCTTTAAGAAAAAGTCTGGTGACAATTAGTCAGTTGCCCGAATACAAATGTTAAATGTGATTAAATACATCGTCACCACTGGGAGCTTTCAGAAATGGGAGAAGGTTGTACCTCGTTTCTTGCTTTTCGAGTATGAGGCTTTTTAACCTAAAAAAGCAAGCTGAAGTTTTTGACTCCACACATCATAAACCCAGTTCATTCTGCATAGAGGAAGTATCCCTAAGGTGGGGGGGGGGGGGACCCTGTCACTTTCAGGAGCAACTTTTCTCAAGGCCTAGGGGTAAATGTATACTCAGGGGCCAGCCACTCTCAGTTGCCAACTATGCTGTAAATTGTGACCCAGGAATTGAAGTTTACTCCTTTATTTCTGTTTACTTTGAGTACTGTTACATATAAAAAGAATAGCCTAAAGGTTCCTGGTTTTTCTAAAATTCTAGAATCTAGAACCACAACCTGATTCTTACAACAGTTATGATTTCGGATCTATAAAAACTAAATCAAAACACATTTGAAATTTAGAGGTCATTTGATTCTAGAATCCATTCCAGTTGAAAGATCTCTTGACTCACTGGATTGGGGAGTATGGTTTTGGGGAAAAAGACATTAAAATGACAGAAGTTTTATTATTTACTTTGTAGCCAGTGGGGACAGGTGAACCTACCTGCTTTTGGACAGAGGTGGCAAAAAAGCCCATCTTGGTGACCATGCACAAAGACTAATGAGCATTTGGTGTTGAATGAAATACCCTGGGTCTTTGAGAAAGCTGTGGTAAGAGGCCTGAAGGGACAGTATTGCCCACTGAAGCCTTGCAGGTCCTGGGGATGCACTCAGGCACTGATGAGTTAAAAGGCAGAGACGTCCAGTAAGCAAGTTCCCGCTGGGCACGGGTTTGTTTATCCTGCCTTTCTGAAGTTGGAGCCAACATTCTTAATGGTTTTGAATGATTCAGAATGTTCCTTTTTTTGGCAGAGCTGCCTTCCACACATGGGCTTATGACTAAAACTCCTTAGATGAGGTCCAAAGCCAGAAACCAGCCTTGCCCTTAATGTCATATTTTAGTATCATCTTATTTTAGAGCAGAAGGAGAACTATCAGGTCCAGCTTGCTCATTTCAAACCTGACAGGACGGCACCAGGGTGGCCTGGGCCTGCCAGAGGTCACAGAGCTGGAAAGAGAGGCTGGCCAAGCCAGGCCTGTGGGTCCAGAGCCCAGGACTCCTCCTCCTCCATCTCACAGCTCCCAGTCCAAACCTCAGGCAGAGGAAGTTCCAGAATGTCCTTGGCCTCCCAACTGGAAGAGGCAGCTAGCTTCTTGAGGAATGTTTAGAAAATTACTGAGGCCATAAAAGAGAATGTTGATTTTACACAATAAAATAAATCAGTGATGTGCCATAGGCAGCTTTTTCAAAACCTCCTTCATGAGTGTGTTATGAACTTGTTAGCTTCTAGATAGAAATGTCCTTATTGTTTCTATCTAGATGCCAAAATAAGCGACTTGATGTACCTTTTGTTTTTAAACTGGATGAGAATTGACTTATGCCACACTAGTTCTTAGTAAAACAAACTTTATATCCTTAACCACAGGAGAAAGAATTGAGCAATGTTCTAAGAACATCTTGTACGCTTTGGGACGCTGAGTAAATATAACATTTAGAAGATGCTCTAGATGCTTGAAAATGCCTCTTGGGAATAGAGCAAATGGGAAACCGTGGAAAGACCTAGAGAGAGGAGCTGGAGCAACTAGAAGAGGAGGGCTTGGAAGGGTACCCGACTGGCTCCTTCTTACTCATCTGAGGACTCTGGGGAGTCCTGACCTCCACAGGGCAGGGTGATTTCCTCATGAACCAGGAAGAGGCCAGTGCCACTGCTGTACAGCAGGCCCTTATCCTCCTTGTAGCATCCCCCGACTAATCTACCACCCCCACAGACTGTTGTACTTGCCACCACGGGACACACTCTGGCACTTCTTATACAGTGAGAAGTCGTAGACAGTACGTGGAAGACTTCTTCCCACAGCCCATCACAAGGTCAGGAACAGACACATCATGTAGGTGTTTTCTAGCAGCCCAGTGCAGCTGTGGACTCTTAGGGGATAATCAGTGAACTACCTCCTGGTGGATTGTGAGAAATCTCTCTGATCATGTTGAGAAGTAGCTTGTAGCTCCACAGTGGCTGTAGACCAATCTGTCCATAAAAGATGTGGCCCATTTCATTCCTCCCGTGTATGTGGCTCACAGAAGCTCGGGGCCCCTGTGTCTGCACCTCTTGTACCTGTGTTTTCATTTGACACCTGTTCCTCTTCCTGCTTACATGTTTCCTCACACTGGACTCACCTCTGCGGTTTGGTCTCATATCTCTGAAGCTCGCACGGCTCTCAGTGTGTTATGAATGCAGTGAATGAGTGGTGACCAAGTGGGCAGACGGAGGTGTTCGGGGTGTTCTAATCCCAGTTTCAGACCTTATCTCCTTCCCCCCGACTCTTGACTCCTTCCTTTGACATCCCTTAGCCTGCCCTTTCCCCACGCCCACCCACAGTCTCTCTGTACTGAGGCCCAGTATCATTTTAGTCTTTCACACCAGGTTTAGCCTACTGACTGTATGAACCTTCTGGAAACTTTATCCAAAATGCTTGATGCACCACCCTGCACAGGGGACAGGGATGGAGGGAGGGCAGGGGGGCGGAGGTAACACACATTGAAAACTTACTACTTACTGTGTGCTTTTTTTCAGTTGTTTTCACAGCCACTCTGGAGAGTAAACGTATGTTCTTTCTGCTCTGTTCTGGAAAACTAAAGCACTAAAAGGGTCACGTGGCTTCCCCCAAAGCTGTGTAACAAGTCACAGAGGAGAAATTTATATCTGGTTCTTTGTGATCCCAAAGCTTATGCTGCTTGTCTTTCTAATTCCTATTTAAAGGTGCTGTTAATTGGGAGATCATTTAATAGCACTTGACATTAAAAGGGCAGCATGTGAGTGCATTCCCTAGGTAAGCTGGGCATGTGCGGAAGAGTGAAAGTGAGGAAAAGATTCTTATATTGCTAGATTTAATTCCAAGTGGAGATTGGTGAAGGTAAGCATCCAAGTAAACATTCCAAAATTCAACTCTTACATGCCCAAGAGGTGTCCCTTAGAAGGCCCTGTGACAGAGGGCCGTCGCCTGAGCGTGTATATTGACCCCTGGCTCCTTGCCAGAGGAAGCAGAAATGCCATTAGAGAGGGATACTGCTGTCCCTGCCTTCCCTGGTAGCAGGTTGGGTACATGCTGCTGTTGAAGGTGCAGTCTTCAGCTTCTGGGGGCGGTAGGCGGCCAGTGGGGGGCTAGCATTCATTTGTCAAGTCACATCCTCCAGATTGAGGAACCTTGTCACTCACGTTTTCTCTCCACCAAACCTATGCCTTCTTTTCTGCACTGTAAATGATACACTAGCGCCTAGCGGTCACTGCACTCCCACATTCTCTGGGGCATTGGCAGAAGGGATGGAGGCATGCTCCGTAGTTAGGTTTTATTATAGGCTTCTTGAAGAACAGGTTCGTCCAGTACCTACCTTCCAGTAGCTTAAATGAAACGAGCCACTTTTCCAAAGACTCTTAACCTCCCAGATGGCAGCAGACTGGCGTTCTTAAGTCTGAAAGAGCCTAGCTTCCCTCACTGCTGGACCATCTTCTCATTTGATCACCAGTTTTGGAAACATGCTATTCTCTGATGGAGTTGCATATTCCAAGGTCCCATGGGATTTAATTGCTGCATGTGCTTTGCCTTTCACGTTGACCCTAGTGCATCTTCCCTTCCTGTCTGTACTTCTGGATTTGATTTTTTTTTTAGAAATATTTTTCAGTTAGAAGATAGTATCGAATATAATTGTGGCTTTTTCTGACCATTCCTTATACTGGTCAAAATCCTCATGAGTTTTAATTTCAACTCTCAAAAATCCTCCCTACAAACCACATTGCTGTTTGGGTAACATCTCGAAGGGCTTGAGCCTCACAGTCACAAGAGCACGTGGCTTACAGGTGGCATCAGTGAATCACAGTTGATCTTCTTCACCGTGGGGCTCCAACCCACACATCTAGAACTTGTCATCCCCCTTTGCAGATGGTGGGGCATGCTCTGTGACCTTAGCTGTGTTCTGGCTCTGCAGTGACGTTGTAATCATTAACTTAGGAACCTGCAGTAGGTGGTAACTTGATTAGATGCCGAGTCACTCATTCTCTTGTTCAGTAAAATGCAAGTTTTTGAGATTTAAGCCCCTTTTCAGGTGCCCTCTTTGGAGCTAACATGAAAGCATCCCAAGCTGACGTGAGGTAGCTCACTTCACCAGGACAACTGAAGTATGAACTGGAATAGTTGCAGATAAATGAAGACCTTTGTGGGCGTTGGCTTTCTGTCGTGTGACATGGTGAAAGATGTGTTCCAGCCTCAAAGTTAGACCATGTAGGGCAGAGTGTAATGTCATTTCAATTCCAGATTGCCTGGTGCTGAAGCAAACAAGGAAGATGGAATCTGCACATGAACCTCCTATAGTCTGTGCTGTTGCAACTCGAGGCTGCAGAGTCAGTTTTTAAAGTAGAAACCACCTCTCCTCTGTGCATTTCTGCTATGATTGGATCTATAGGTTTATAGGGCTTTATTTCATAAGGCAACTTGCTGAGTGAACCTTGCTGATCTGCAAAACACACACCTCGTGTTGGCAGGTTGCTTCCTTAGCAACGGCCACACCTCCTGTTGTCTGCAGCACAGAGTGAACAAGGCGTGTAGGCGTACGTTGCTCATTGTGCAGGAACTTTGACAACTTTTGTGTCTTAAGCAGGAAGTAGAAGATCCCTTATATCTCTTATTTTTAAAAATATATTGGTCACTGACTGTGGTGGGGTAGTATGGTGAAAAGAAAACCTGAAAAAAGTTGACTTCTACTGGATTCATGCTGTCATTTAACTTTTCAGGTGCTACTCTTCTGAACAGATGCCTCTAGAGGATTTCCCCACCTAGAAAACATCTCCCAGCAGATGGCCTTTATATCGCTGCGTAAGTAAAACCTTGTGCTTGCAGGTCACCCCAAAGAAGTTTTGTTGTATTTTGTTGCTGGATGATTCTCCAGTGAATTTTTGAAAAATTATCATCAGTGTTTGATTTCTATTCTTCTTCAACCCCCAACTCCCAATTCACTCTCAGGAAAATATATATATGTATGTATGTAACATGAACTTCTTAAAAGTAATGGTACAGGTTCCACATGCAGGTCTTAGGATGGGAGGAAATGAAGGCCGAAAATATCAAAGGTCCTCATTTCAGTAAATGCAGATGGTGCCCCTCAGAGACCCAAGCCAGTTTTAGTGTTGGTCAGGCACCTCGCGACAGTCAGCTTCCTTGGAAGTGTCCATGTATGGCAAAGAGAGCCTTCCATTTACAAGCAGTGCGGATATCTTAGCCACCTCTTCCTTTATCTGGTGCTTTACTTTTGTTACAGCTGTTGTTCTCTGCTATCACTTTTCTCGTTTACCTGATTTAGTCCTCACAGCAGCTTTATGGGGTGGATACTGTCATTATCTTCATTTCACAGATGAGGAGACCAGGCACAGAGAGTTAATGTAATTTACCCGAGGTGGTGTGGGCAACTGGTGGCAGAGCCTGGCACCCTGACTCCATTTTACCCTCTTACCACACTGCCTCATAGAAATGGGAAAGGGGGCTGGGGGATAAACTGCCAGCCTGGATTCTAGAGAAGGTATCTTAGCACTGTGTCATACTCACATGTGATCTGTGGGACCAGTCCGGATGCTCTGTTGACTTGAGCTTCTTTGAGATTAGTGGGCAAACAGGATTTAGAGGAGTGGGACTTGGCTTAGGTCATACTGCAAGTCAGAGTGTGACTGAGGGTCCAGGGCTTTTACCATGCAATGTGAGATAAAACTCGTTAGTTTCCATGTCCTTTCTTCCTTGGTGGCTCCTTTGGTACTGCTTCTGCTTTCAGGTCCAATTCTAGTTTTAATGATTTGCTCATTTGTTTATGGGTGAAAACCCAAATCTTGGAGCTGGAGGGTATTCCCTGTGGCCACGTGAGGATGAGCCATTACAGAACCTAAGACACCAGGCAGCAAAGAATGATGGCTAGAAGCCTAGGCTCAGGATCAGGCCAACTGAGGTTAGATCCCCAGTCATGTAATTCCCAAGCTCTGGGATCAAGAGCAAGTCATGTGATTTCCTCACTCCCTGGTCCCTCATCTGAACACATCAGCCCCATTAGGTGTTGTATCAAGAAAATGCAGATAAAGCGCACACAGCACAGCGTCTAGTCAGAGTAAGCCTTCCAGAGACCAAAGCTGTGATGATCTGGCCCAGTGCCCTTCCCATCCACTTCTTCACCTGGCCCTCACCCTGAGAGGATACTCCAGAGTTCAACCTGTCCAGTAAAACACCAAGTGCTCATGTGATACTTTAAAAGTCACTGGCTGTTTCCATGTACTACATTGCATTTGACCCTAACAGTCACTGTAGTGCAGGACTTTCTCTCTCTGTTCTCTGGATCAGGACACTGAGGATCAGAGAAATGAAATGATTTGCCCAAGATCACTTAGTACACGGCATAGCTAGAATCCCATAGGACCTGCTCATCTCCTCCTTGCAAAAAAGTATTCGCTGAAGGCATGCAGGTAATCAGAGCATGACTTAAAAATGTGTGAGCCCTCACCATAGCAATGACAGTTGCATCCATAGTCTGGACAGAATACTCAAGTTAGTGTCCCAATGTCCATAACATTTGGAAGCTGTGTTCTTAAAGAGGTGACAGAGCTAGCTATAGTCCTCCTTGTGAAATCCCCAAGCCCTGAGGGAAGTTGTCTTAATCCAGTTTGCTCACGCAAGAACAGACTGGCCTCTCACGTCAGGGGAAACGATGCACATCCAGTGTTCTGCCTTGCCACACAGGAGTGTCTGCTGGGGTTATTGACTCATGTCCCAGGTTCTAGCTTCCCTATCAGATTTGGAAGAAAAAGTACCAAGAAGGGCAACTTGCAGAAAAACAGCATGAAGGTGGCAGTGCCAACTGGATTTTGAAATGGAAACACCGTGGCTGAGAAAAGGAATCTGTTCTTGGAAAATGATGATTTTAATGCAGGACATGAAGTATGTGTTCTGCATGTGAGAAAGAGTTAATGTTTTCCCTTTCAAATATTTTAGTACCTTAAAATTGTTGGCTGGTTAAAAATACAAACATCCTGGATAACAGAAAGTCAACCCTACCGCATGCTGGCCTGAAAACAGAAGAATGCAGTTGGTTGTTAGAAAGTAGAGAATAAAGAGAAAAGGAAACATGCTAATGTTCCCTGAGTCATGGCGTTCCCTCATGGTAGGGTTGTCCTGGCGGTTGAATGCGCTGAAAGACTCAGCCAGTAAAGCCGTATGGTGGCTTGCCTTCACTCTGTTCCCCTGTGCATGTCCTGGAGAGAGAATGGACAAGTGCCTCTTAATTTATCCACTGGTTTTTCCATCTCTCTGTTAGTGAACCGCAAAGGTTTTCTTTGTTAACTGGGCAGCCAGTCTCCTCACACACACCTCTTTTATTTACAAAGCTGGCTCTTGCTTTGAAAACAGGGGCCCAAACTCAAGATCTCTGTCTCAGTGCATTTTTTTTTTTTAAGTAACTTTACATCCACTTAGCTCAGTACTTCTTGTTCTTTCCAAAGACTTGAAAAATGTGGGAAAACATATGGAATGACCAATCTTTGCTCTTCTGCTTTGCTGAAAATGTATTGTCAACTGGGCTAATATGAAGAGACATAGATACAAAAGAATGTATCTGCCTTTGTTGTTCTGCTAAATTTAGAGAAGCATAATTAAAGATAGCTTAGAAAACAGTTGCCTCTGTGAAGAGCACAGATATATAGGGTGGTATATTTAGGTGCATGTCTGTACATATGTGTGTGAGGTATATTTGGTGTATAAGGTATATTTGTTCTTATGAGACATAAGTACAGGGAAGAAATCCGTTCTTCAGAAAAAATGTTCCCCATAACTAAAGTGCCAGTCATTGACAAAATCTTCTAAAGGGTGGTAGACAAAAGCTATGACTAGTAATTTGTGTTTGGATTTTGGATTTTTTTAATTAGAATAATCTGCTTCTTGTGTACTTCAGTCACTGGTGCTGTGAATTACAGTTGCATGTTCAGAAGGATGCAGTGGACCCCTGAATGAATCACAAAATTAGTGAAATGGTTATTTGAGAACTCCAGTGATTCTTCCGTCCTGGCATTTTTTTAGGTTTAAATGCTTAAATTTACAATCCAATTGAAAGACTCCACAGCCCATTACTTTACAAAGTGTTTACGATTCTTCTTTGAAGCCTGTGAACTCTTGGATCTTTGATGAAGTGAGCATGACCCATCCCTTGTAGCCCCTGGTGTTCTCATCCCTTCACAGAGATGAAGAAACCAGCCTCGCAGCAGGAGATGTGTGCTGTGGATGCTGTTCTGTGATAAAGGTTGAGTTTGTTTTGGGATCACCTTAGGAAGAGAGACCTGGCCAGGCCTAGAGGAGTCGGACAGCCTGCACCTCCAGGCTGGTCAGCGTCTGAACCCACTTGAAATCATCAACCACAGGCAATTGTAATAGGAAGATTGCTCAATGCTGCTGGTGACATTGTAAAATGAGGATGATGTAGGAAGAAGTTAAAAAGAGAGACCAAAGTTCAGTAAGTGTACTGAAGCCAAGAGAAGATGGTGAGTGAATGATCATCAATTTACTTTCAAAGAGTTCTGCAAAAAATCATCTATTAGTGATTACATATAGTTTGCATAGCTAAAACAAAACATGGTAAGAATGAATACTTGGGGGCTGGGGTTGTGGCTCAGAGGTAGAGCGCTCGCCTAGCATGCATGCATGAGGCATTTGGGTTCTATCCTCAGCACCACATAAATATAAAATAAAGATACTGTGTCCCACCTATAACTAAAAAACAAATATTTAGAAAAAAAAATGAATACTTGTTGAATTTTGATGGCATGAATTTAAGAATTCGTTTTATTGTCAAAGTTAAGGGAAAATTTCAAATACAAGTTAACAGTGTTTTAAAAAAGAACATGCATCCCTTTAGTTAGGCAGTCTAAAAACATTAATCTTCTTGGATCCCTAGAACACTAAAGGGAATGATAGTGAGCTGCTTATTAAGATAATATCAAGAACTGTGACAAATAATAATTTGTCAAGGAGAACTAAGACCCAAAGCTCTACTTCTGGAGTGCAAGGGAGGGGACTCTAAAGCTAACAAAACTTCCTTTCAGAGAAAGCACTGGGATCTCCCTAGCATCAGTGCATGACTTTGCCTCTGGTCTGGTCCATGTCCTCCTCTGACCCCCAAGTTACAGTAATCCTTTAAATCAAAATTATCTTGAAAAAGTACTGGGTATAGAAAAATGTTTTCTTCAGCTTCTATCAGAAAAGAGCACTTGCTGACTTGGGGCCATTTGTATGTCACTTATAAGGTTCTTAAGCACCACCTTCCAATTTTCTTTTACCTGCCTGGGTACTTGGAACACAAGATGAACTTTAGGTCTCCTTCTATGACTTCTTTACTCAAGTAAAGGATCTTCCTTGAGTTTCCACCCGGAAGTAATATGGTTGACTCATGCCATTGCCTCTAAATGATCAGACAGCCTTTGGGCCACTCAAGGATAGAGTCAAGGCATGCCCTCTACCTCTGACACCAGATTTGGTGATGTTAGTATATAAATGTTTGAAATTTGCAAAAAATTTATTTAGACTGCTAAGTAAATAACTCAAAACCAAGTTTCCACTTTTTCCTTTGTAGGTTGTCTTTTGTTTATTACAAGAGCATTCTGAAAGAAAAGAAAAGATCATAAAGCTTCTTCAGGAAGCTGGTTTCATATGGTGGTTTAGATTTAAATAGTGATTGTCTAGCACCATTTGAAATCAGTGTTCTTGGAGGAGACCAACTGCATTGCCAACAGCAAAAGAAATGAATGGGACAGCATTGAAGTTTTTTATCTTTAATTTTAAGTTTGAATTTATAT